GGGGGAGCGGTTGGTTGCTACCGACGAGGTCGGGATTGGTTCCAGGGAAAGAGCTCGATGTAATCGGCCGAGTTTCCTTGAGCTCGAAAGTACCGGGGAGATGCCAACGGTGAGGTGGAGGAAATAGTGCTGGTAGTAGTAGATAGAGAGAGAGAGAGAGAGAGAGAGAGAGAGAGAGAGAGAGAAAGAAAGAAAGATGGAAAGAAATAAAGAAAGAAGGTCAGGGATAGGAAGTGGTTGTAACAACGGTCTCTCGCTAGTGTTAAGTGTGCGAGAGAAGAAGAGTTTCGAGATTCGAAAACGCACCGTAAATATGTTCGCAGTCCCTCTCGAACAAGCACCCAACATCAACCTGTCCATGTCCCTGGTTGGTTGGTTGTTTGCTTACTTGCACACTTCTGTCCGTCATTATAATATACTCGGTTTTGTAATTTCGCGCGTTTCCTTTGTCTGACTAAAAGTTTGACTGATCACTCATTCACACCACCACCATTACCACCACCATTACCTAATTGATCCTTCAACTAACGGACGGTATAACATTTTTTCATGTTATGTTCGAGTAGAGGTAGAACGTTCGTTATGACTTTTTATGGAAAAAATAATAAGGAAAATTTATGGGAATCGGTGAGAGGGAGGAAGGGAGAAGACTAAGAATTAATGAGTATTTGATTTTGATCATTGATATAAATACTTTTGATTTTTTTAATAGAAATTTCATTATAATTATATAAGTCTATTTTAATCTTTTTTAAAGTTATAAGATAGTATCTTGAATATGGTAACGTAAATATGCCATTTAAAATGTTACTTTGTTCTCTTAAATATTTGTCATCAATTTCTTGTTAAAGATGATTTTTAATTAGATCAAAATAACGAATATAAAACGTGTCGGTTGTTGGATGAAAGGAAAATGTATTTATCGAACGAATCGGATGCAATGATTGGAGGTGATATCTTTATAATAAAATGATGATAGAAAAGGGTAAAAAATAAAGTAGAAAAATGAAAAAACGATAGTATAAAATTAAAAGAAATATGAGCAGGGTTAACTTTGACTTCAAAGTAGTAGGAGGGTCCTTCTCCTTTCTCTTTGTCACGTTCACCTATAAATTATTAGCTCGTAAAAGGAAGAGAGAAAAATCAAAGGATCAACGGATTGCGTAGGAAGAGATAAAGGTTAAGGTAGAGAAGGAAGGAGGAAGAGAGAGAGAAAGAGAGAGAGAGAGGCGATGTGCGCAATTGAAAAAAAAAAAAAAAAAAAGAAAAAAGTTTTGCCTTTTAAAGCAAGCTACCCCGTTGAAAGAAATGAGCGACGATCCGTTGGGAGTCGCAACTGAAAAGTACGATTATGATCTACATTCCATTTTTCTTCTTCTACTTTTTTTTGTTTTCTTTTTTCACTTCCTTCCCTTCTTTGCCAGCCCTTTTATTTTATTTTATCTTCTTTTTTTTTTTTTATAATTTTTCTTTGTCCCTTTTTTTTTTTATATCTTTCGAGAAACGCACGCGAAAAACTTTTGCAATCGCTTCTATTAATTTTTCGTTTTCTTTTCGTTTCGTTTTCTTTCCTTGTTTTCCTTTAAAGATAATTATCATTAAAAAAATATTATCTCAAAATAATCTACACGCACACACATTTGTAAAGAATTGTTTCGTTGTAATCTAAAAAACGTAATACATAATAGGAAGGAACAGAGAAGAAAGTTCAAACGTGTGTACAAAAATATTGTAGAAAATATATATCGATAATTAGGATAATAGAAATATTTCAATTAGTTTCAATGCGTTCAGAATTACGACAGAAAATAATATTCTAAATGTAATTTTCTCAAAACCTTTAATAGTCGGTGATTACCACTTATCAAGATGCAAATTCGACTAAATTTTTCTGCCAATATACTATAAAACATAGCATATACATACACACACACACAGACAGACAGACACACATACAGTGAGATCGTTCGACTGTCTAATTAGACCGGTTCCATCGATGTTTTAAGCGACTTTAATTTGTCAAATTTACCACAGACTGATGTTACTCAAAGCTATAATTTGCGATGGTGTATTTACGAGAGTCGAACATTGAATTGGGCTAAATGTAAACTTGGAAAACCGTTTGCTCGGATCTTTCTAATCGAAAAAACATTGATCAATTTTTTCATTCTTTCTCACTCTCCCTCCCTCCTCGTTTTTCGTTATCTCGTTTCCTTGCTTTTTACTTTATTTTCTTTTTCTTTTTCCATTTTATTAAACGTTGATATCCCTGCCGTATATTGTTAAAACCGGAACGATACGAATAATAAAAATTGCAACGAAACGATTGATTAACGTTTAGACAAAGAAGGATGACGATGTAAAATTAATAAGGAAATAAAAAAAGAAATAGAGTATAGAAAAAAGGAACACACGCGAGCGGAATAAAATGAAACAAACAAAAAACACAGTAAAATCGTTGAATGCAAATCCTCCTTTTACGTTGTAATCCAGAATGTCTTAATTTGATATTCCGCATCCGAACGGGTACGAGACGTATGTTACAAGTTCAACCCCTTTTCCGACCCATCACCGTATTTCTCTTTCTTTCCCTCTCTCTCTCTATCTCTATCTCTCTCTATTCTTTTTTCTTTCTTTCATTTCTTCTTTTCTCTATCCATCGTAACGCGAGGCATTCTAATCACGAGTCGTGACGTTTTATCATGGACTTTGAATTTTCCAACGGGAAAGAAGGGTATACGAGGGGGCTGGGGAAAAGGGCCGTAGATGGCAGGAAAGGGGGAAGTAGATTCGAAACTTGAAATTTGTTTCTCGGACGTGCCACGGCGAATCGAAGCGTACGAGTCCGAGCGATCTTCTACAGTTGCATTTACACATATATATATATACTCACACACATAAAAACACATATAGAGTTACACGTAAACGGATATGTATGGACCGCTTCATCCTGTTCATAGGATACACGTAGCTAGATATATATATGTGTGTGTATGTAAGTGTACATATAGATCTGAAACTTCATATCATTCTTGGACTTTACGATCAGCTTGGAGAAAATGGGAAAGAGAGAGAGAGAGAGAGAGAGAGGAAGGAGGGGGGTGGAGGTTGGAAGGAAACGTGAAAATGTATAAGTCTGAATCTCTCTATCCTAGTTTAACACACTATCTTAAACAGCTATTCGCTACTTAATTACGATGGATCCTTCGTGTTCTCTAAATTACGTCTTCGAACAACCGAGAAGGGAAAACGTTGTTCGCAAGGTAAAAGAATAGGAAAAGATAGAGATTGAGAGATAGAAGGAAAGTAGAAGGCAAAAGAGAAGAAGAAGAAGAAGAAGAAGAAGGAGAAGATGGGGAAG